CCATTCCCCCTCATCCTGTCACCAGGCACGTGGGAGAACAGACCAACCCCCACCTCACTACAGCCTCCTTTAAGGTATCTGTAGAGAGCGATAAGGTCGCCCCTGAGCCTCCTCTTCTCCAGGCTGAACAAGCCCAGCTCCCTCAGCCGATCCTCGTAGGACTTGTCCTCCAGACCCCTCACCAGCTTCGTCGCCCTTCTCTGGACCCGCTCAAGCACCTCGATGTCCTTCTTGTAGCGAGGGGCCCAAAACTGAACACAGTACTCGAGGTGCGGCCTCACCAGAGTCGAGTACAGGGGGACGATCACCTCCCTAGCCCTGCTGGCCACACTGCTTCTTATATAACCCAGGATGCCGTTGGCCTTCTTGGCCACCTGAGCACACTGCTGGCTCATATTCAGCCGACTGTCCACCATCACTCCCAGGTCCTTCTCTGCCTGGCAGCTCTCCAACCACTCATCTCCCAGCCTGTAGCTCTGCTTGGGGTTATTGCGCCCCAGGTGCAGGACCCGGCACTTGGCCTTGTTGAACTTCATGCAGTTGACCTCAGCCCATCGGTGCAGCCTAACCAGATCCTCCTGCAGAGCTTTTCTACCCTCGAGCAGATCAACACACGCACCTAACTTGGTGTCATCTGCGAACTTACTGAGGGTGCACTCAATGCCCTCGTCCAGATCATTGATGAAGATATTATGAATACTTATGCAGCAGCACTGCCCTTGCTCATTCACTAATTTGGTTATGCTGTTTCCAAGCTACATGCAGCATTCCCCTATTTCTGTAAAAAGCCATAATCAGATACTAACACCCAGTTACACTGCACACAGTAATAACCCTGCAGGACTCTGAATGGGTATGCACACATATGTTTACTTTGTAAGTTGTTCATGAACTGAGTTGGGGATAAAGGGCACTGTGGCTTCAGTAATTCCTTATTGACAAGTATTCTCCACTTTAGTCATCTGATGCACTATTTTCCTGCAGTGATTCACTTTACTATTCACACCAAGCAAGGCTTATTACACGCACACACACACCATCCTCTCCATCAAAACCACTTGTTAATACTTCTGGTCCTTCACCAGAGGCTGGATTTGTCTCAGCTAAATTTAGCTGTCTAGAGAAAGTATAGCTGTTCACAATCAACAAAAAGAGCCTCTAGAGACAAATTCACGTCAGAGACATTTCTTAGTGCAGGCTGATTCTGAAAACACTTCTTTCCACCTATGACACATGAAGACTGATCAGACAATTTTGACTACACAGCAGATGATCCATGTATTTAAAACAAACAGAGAATGGCTACTAGCAGATATCACAACTTCAGCATAACTCTTTGGAGAGCATAACCTCTCAAATTGGAGATATTTTCCCCATGAAAATGGCAGTTGCCAAGATACAATGCAATGAATAACATGGCTCCATTGAATAACAGTAAACATGTCCTGTTCATTCACAAAATGATTTCTGAATCACTTTGCAAGTCCCATCCATCAAGAACCATATGTTAAAGAATTCAGCAACAGCAGTCCTGAGTATAGTGACACTTTTCAAGGCTGTAGCTACTGAAGCCATTACAGTAGAAATATCATAGCCATATATAAAGGCAGATGTAAGCACATTTGTTTTTATTCCTTGCAACAAGTCCAGAACGAGTTCATAAAAAAGATGGAAATTGCATGCAATGCCATTATATCAAGCACAAAAGTCTGACATTTTCTGTAGTTAACAATAAATTATTCCCAATGTTTGCCTGTTTTTAAAAAAGTTATCCAAAACCAACCTCACAATATCCTTAAGTTGTTTCAGATATAACAGCCCATGGAAAGCATTCAATGACAAGGTACGCGTACTGGAAAAACTTTGTGTTCCAAGATAGAGAGTGACATAGTATTCATGGAGATAAGAAAACCTACACACATGGAGCACATAACATGATCTCCTTTACAGTTGAACTACCCTTCTTTGCTCCCACACTTCTGTCAGTCCAATAGGAAGAAATGGGGAACTCCAAGTCCTGAATGGGTGTTATCACTCATTATCACTAAAAGCTGTATTGAACCTGATATTGTTAACAATTAGTTACTAACAGATCTGCAAATGTCCATGATATCAGAGGAACTGCCACCTCCTACCTGAGTCAGACCCATGGTCACAGTCCTGCAGCTTTTTCACTGGGATCAGCACCAAGGGTTTTACATTAGCTTGTAAGCCTTGGCAAATAAAGGATGGCTTAATGTTGCAACTCCTACTGTGAAATATCTTTCTATATACAAAAATATAGAAACCCGTCATCCACTATTGGGCAGCTATTTTACACCACATAGATTTCTCAATCCTTTATAAATAAGAAAATAATAACGATAATAATAAAAAAAACCCTGTTTCTCTTGGCATAGGTAATGTCGGTGGGGCAAAAAAGTTCCACTAGTGCATGCTGTAAGAACACATTTCTCTCAGAATTTAAATATATATATTTTTTTTATATAATATATACTACTAAAGAAATAAGGTTATGGAACAACTGACTACAACTGCATTTGAGTAGATTTTCAGTACCACAGCGGACTAATTGATTGAGGGTTGAATAAAGAGGGTCCCAGTTCCTGTTTATGTCGTGAAGTTGGAAGGGGATGATACCGTTGTCCTTTCTGAGAGCCTTGTCCTACCCAAGTTTATAACATCTAATTTAAACTTTTTCTAAAAGAAAAACAGTCTGACAGATCAACGTGGGAGCTTGCCCAAAACTGTGTTATTCTTTATCATAATCAAGCTTGAAATGGCACTGTTCTTTTTATTTATATGTTGTCATAGACATGCTTAGCCAAGGAAGAAGTCAGAATCACAACAGCATTTTCTTTAACTTGGTGCATTTGGTCAGCATTTCAAACATGATTGAATCCTAGGCGGCTTCACCATCAGGATAAATGACACTAACTTATATTAGCATTTTAATTCTCATCCCTCTTTGTGGCTTGATTGTGTATAGACAGATGTAAAGCAAGATGTATGATGCTTTATGGAACAACTAAGTTAAAAAGCCAAATTCGGAACTTCCTTGCATTTTATAAAACTTCTGGGAAAGTCTCCCAAATTCAGTATAGAAACAAATTCATCCTAGTCTCTTGAGATTAAAATCCCTGTACACAACCTCAAGTTCTAAAACCATTTTTTTTTTTTTTAATCTGGATCCTCGAGGAGTTACAGTCATATATAAGCTTCTGTGGTCCCTTTGTACACACCTTTGTCTGTTGTGTATCGCACCCAGGATGCACAGCCTGGGGTGGAGCATCCTTGCCCTCTTCCCTATTGTTTGCTCAGGGAAGAGCAGCCAGACCAATGACTTATAGAAAACACTTAAAACTTGTAAGCCAAACAAACAAGGACTGAAATGGAGCAGGTGGAGATAACACCAATTTGGCATCCAACATTATTTAATTGGGACAAGCGTCTTCATCAATGGCTATTTGGAGGGAGAACAAAAGGAGGCTGAACTGGCTACTGTCTCCAACAACTGCTAATTTGTGCTGCAAGATGGAGAAATATCAACTGCACTGTTAATTTCTATATTACAGAAATTAATCCTCTCATTTGCACAGCAGGAAGCCAAATTACACCATCACATGCACAAATAAATCTGACATTTTGAGGATTTGACACTGCACCACAAAGAGCTGGTTCCAACATTACCTCCCACCTCACAGAGATAGCATAAAGGCATCTTTCCTGGACAAAGACAACAACAGAAAAGCAGCCAGTTCCTCAGCTGATGAAATTTGGCAGAGGTCTCCCAGTTTGAAGAGAACAGCTGCCATCCACCTCACAGAGATGCAGAATATAAGGAAAGGTGCATTTGTATGATTTGGAGGAGATATCTTTCTAAACTAGAAAGAGATCTTGTACCTGGACCTACAGCACCTTCAAGTTTCAGCTATAGCAGGTGCCTCATGTGTGCATCCCATAGCTACCACAGGGAACTTTTGTCCTAAAAACAGAATATTGCAACAGACAGCACACAGCTAAAATAGGACAGATGAAAAAAGTCTACCTGCAGTGATACAGAACAGAGTTCCATCCTCTGTAAAAAGCACATTGCCCGTCACTTGACTTGACTAACAACTACAAAATGCCTGAGGAAAGGCAAGGTTTGTGGGGTAAAGTGTTTTAATCATTTTTAGTTAGTTTGGTTTTATTTAGTTTAATTTAATTATTACTCAGAATTTGAATGTCAAAGACTTTCATATAGATCACAGATTTACCAGTGGGGAATCTCATCCACCTGCTGATTTTCTCTCATTCATTCCTCTCTCCTTTGTGGATCCGGTCCTCTCAGTTCTCATTTATAAACGTCAATTTCAAGAAAAAGTTAAAGACACGCAACTTCATTTATTAAATAGCCAACTTCATTTATTAAACAGCCATAAGAGCAATCACACTTTACTAAGTCATTGATTAGTAAGGGATACTTAAAAATTAGTATGCATCTGTGCAGTTAGTATAATCTAAATTGTTGATTATGAAAAGCCTGATCATAATCATCCAACACATGCTGCTTATATCCAAAGCACACCTATATATCTTTTCAAACTCCTGTAAACCATTTAAAGTTGAACCTTCACTTAGGAAGTGTAATTACAAGAAATACACAGATCTTCCACAGAAAACAGAAAATGCACCTGCCAGTTCAAATCTGGCAAGGTGATGCTCATAGCATTAACAGGTGCTGTTTGTGAAGTTTCTGAAGGTATTTGTTTCTCCCTGCTTAGCCCTGGCACAACCACTTCTTCCTGCCTGTCACTCAGGATGGTGACAACCTGGGAAGACAGGCTTCAAGCCACTGCAATGACAAAAGTTTTACACCTCCTGCTTCCCCCCTCCCAAATTAAGCAGAGAAAGGTCAAGATACGTTAGCTTTTACACATCACACAGCTCTAAAGTTTTCTCACATAACCCCAGGATCTATCCTCTATTCTTAGAAATAGAAACATATAGGTTCTCACCTAACTCCAGGAGCTTTGGCCTTAGGAAAGCAAGCACACAGTCTGAAAGCAATAACAAAAAAAGAGAATTAACATCATGACGTAAAAATCTATTAAAAAGAGGATATTTGCTTGCAGGAATTTCTCCCTCCCTTTATTTCCCCCCATAGGAGTCAGTTAAGCATAACCTTGTTGGTAGTTTGTTCTTTCATACAAAAACATAATTATGATCTGATCTGCAACCACATGCCTTAAATAAAAGGCAGCTGCTTATATGATCTGCTCATTAAGTGCTGTATTCTAAATACATACAAAGATGCCAAGGTAATTAACAAGGCACAAAAGCTTCTGGGAGTTAAAGATACAATAAGAGCTGGGTTGAGACTCCTCTTTACATTTACAGGAAAATAGCAAGAAATCTATGACTATAGATTTCATTTTAAAATCACTTTGCTCCTCAGGATGACATTGCAGAATTATTCTCTTTGAAAAGATACAATTTATTTCCCACTGTTATAGATGCTTAAAAAAGGAGTTTTGGTACTTCCAGGATTTCTTCTTTCTGCTTTCCCTTAAGCTTTAAGACTTCTTGATAATGTCTCATGGAATGATTTAAACATTTTTGGAAATATGAAACCTTACCACTTAATGAGTCATTTTTACACCAACTACCACCTCCAAATGTCTGGTTTCCACCTTCTCCCCCTCCTCATAGATCCTTTTACTGTTTTACGTTATACTGCAGTCCTAACTTCTCCAAATATCTATGCCACTTCCTTGCATAGAACAAATCTCCTTCTCAAAGTTATTTCACTCTAAAATCCTTGCTTCCTCTTTAGGCACCAAGGCAATTGTAAAGCTAAACCACCTATGTTAAGAATCCACTTACTATTTTCTGTAAACTACACTTAGAGAAATGGAGAAAATTTGTTTTAGCTAGCAAGATACACAAAGTCTTTCCTAGTACCACTACTACCTTTCCTTCCTGTGAACTTCATTTGAAAAGGTAAGAAGTATGGTGAAGAGAATTTAAAAGCCACACCTGTGCTAAAAGGAAATAGATTTCTTCTCACAGATGCAAGTGTTTATGCTTTAAAAAGAAAGAGAAGAGGGCTTTTTACCACCTAGTTAATTAAGCATGCCTCGCAGCTCTCCTAGTGTTTATTTCTCAGTACGGCCAAATTGAAATCCCTGGGGTACTGCTGTCTTCTCAGTAGCAGGTATATACTTCCCAATTTTTCTCCCATGAAACGCTGAGATTTAGTAATACAGCCAAACACTGAGTACCTGAGCAAAAAGCAGTAGGAGTGAAATCTCAGAAAATAATCATTGTACTGGCAAATAAAATGTCCTTTGCTTAATAATTCAAAACCAAAAAAAAAAAAAATCAAAATTAAACCAAAGTTTAGAACTAGGTTTACCTTTTTTTTTTTTGCCCTGACCTGCGCAGGAAAACAATTCTGTCTCCCCACTGGCTGAAAGGCCTATATTAGACAATCCCCCTACCAAATATTTGGGGTCAGGGTGTGCTAGACTTGGGTATTTAGTCTTCTGGTCAGAGCAAGGCTTTGTAAAACATCCAGCTAAAGTGGCCCATTTCTCTAAGTGATCTCACAGGCTTGATAATGGAGGGACTATATAAAATTGACAATTAGGACTTCTGTTGGAATACAGAAAATATGTTTGGAGTGAGCTTAAAATCTTTTCAGGACTATACTGAAACACAACATTTCCACAGTATAGCAAAGCCCATTTTTATTTTTATTATTATTATTTTTACTCTTTTTTTTTTTTTTTTTTTTTCGGGGGGGGGGGGGGGGAGGGATAATTGTGGGCATTTAAGTCCTCCTGAAATCTAGCTGTATTCCTATTAGCCAGGAGCAATAATTAACAGCTCTCTTTCTCTGGAGTCAGGAAGAGAGAATCATGTGAAGATGAAAAAATTTTATAATAGGCCTAAACTCTGGGATTTCTTATTACCTTTTAGGATGTCTGATCCTGAAGGCCCTTCAAAAACTGAAATACAGTTCACAGATGCTGACATTGCAAAGCTTTCTAACGGGGGAAAATGAGAGAAGGAAAAAAAATACCTATCAGATACATCTGCTACATGGAGAAATAATAAATGCCAGATATAGACTTTTATTTCAAACAAAACAAAAGACACTGAAAAAGCATAAGTTATCTCTTTTCAAAATTGAACAAAATTAGCTGAACCACAGCAATAATAATATTATTAATAATGATCATGGTAATGATGATGAAAAGATATGCACTACTTTAACAAAGACTGAAAACAAACTATACTCTTGAACCTGAAAAATGTGAAACTCGAGGAAAAAGAAAACAAATGGGCATTTCAAAAAGAACAACAAACATAGGAGATAAGTAATCCCAGAGATCACTGAAGTAAGAAAGAACAATGAATTTACAAAGCAGATGGATTTCCAAGTCAAGTGTAGAGAAGCCTGAATGAATCTGCACAGTTGAAGCAACGGCAGTGAGATGATCATAAAAATGTTTAGCAGCCTTTCTGGAGATGTGAAAAGCTCAGTGATTTGTGATACATTTTTTCAATGCCTGGCCATGGCTTTACTGCAGTTATCCACTGGGGCTCTGGCTGCACAGCAGCTGGATGCAGCCGAGGGCAGAGGGCACAGGTTGGTGCTGTCAAACAGCAGGATGCAATGGGATCCAAGCGGCTAGACTTATCCAACACTGATCTCACAGGCTATACATATTTATGCATTAGTGAACAATGTTGCAAGTGGAGCTGCTAACCTCCTCAAATGATAATTACTTGTCCAGAAGTACTTCAGCCAAAAAGTACTGGCTGGCTTGTCTAATAGCTGGTAGAAGTATCATTGACATTATCCCATTTCAGCCATGTTATATATTTGTTTGTAGTCATCACTACAGTGTTTGGTCCTTACCTCTGGGACTCATCCTCTGCATTATATATGAGGAGTTTATACATGAGGAATTTGAGAGAATGTAATCCCCCGTGTCAACCACCTTTTGTCCCCAGTGGCCTCATTAAAGAAAGAAATATTATCCTTAAGCAAGCACATTAAAAAATGGAAATGTGTGAAGACAATAGCTGAATTATTCAAACTGCTCCTTAGTCATCATGATCATTTTAATGCACATAACCCTGATTTGGTTTACATAGTTTTTTGAGGTTGCACTTGATTATTTCTTTTTCCACAATTCCCAGATAAAGCACAGAATTAACTGTTCATTTTACCAAAATAGATGCTCCAAGGCTTTCTGAATGCAGCTTTCCTAATCTTCTAAAAACCTCATCTGGGAATCCAATTCTGATGCATCAGAGTTTCTGCAAATGGTGCAAGCTGCAATGTTGCTTTTGTTAAGGGGGCAATCCCTTTCCTAATATGTAGAAAATAGACTGAGAATACTCAGGACATCTCCCCAAAGCAACTAAAACTTCACTAATAATTTTTTGTCCCTTCCAAGGTACAACAGAATCAATTATCTAGATGGGTGACATCTCACAAACCCATTATGACTGTACATCTCTCATACACTGCTTTATACTCTCATCATTTGGTCATTCACTTTCCCACATCCTCCTGAGCCTGGTGGATATTTAAGAGCAATCAGAAAAAAAATATCATAATAAAACTGCTGATTGCAAAAGAAATATAATGTGCTTGCTGATGGGGGTCTAAGACATTTCTGGAGCACTGGGTCACCTCCTCCATTAAACTACTTTGTCTCTTGAAGGGGATAAAATATGACCAAGTTTTCATGAGGTTACTACCCCTACAGTAATGAGAGTCCTATTCCCTCTTATAGTCCCATGCCTCATCTTTGCATTGGCAGAAAATCTCATTTCTCACTTCTGTACGTCATTCACTTTCATGAACATAGAGATCACACAGTTTAAATGTGACAGATTTTTTGCCTGTTCTATCAGAATATCCAGTGGTGTTGATTTAGTGCTTGGAAACAGCTCTGAGAACCTCTCTGCATGCCTTTTTGGTGGGCTGGAAAAATATCTGTGAGAAGAGACTTGCAAAGATAAATCAAAGTGTGAGAGACTTTACTAAACTAGAAAAATTTTTATAGCATTTAGATGATACCACAACACTGTTAACCACAGTGTAAATGATTGAACAAGTGATGAATCCCTTAGAGGAAAAAGCCATTAGGTGGTTTTAAATCCATTAAAAAAAAAAAAAAAAAAAAAAAGTATTATGTGCTATAAAGAGCAAAAAGATGTCCTTTTCTTTCCTTTCTAATACAATCCTCATCAGAGTACTCCTATGCAGTCTTCCCAAGGCATTTTATCAACGCATGCCAAACACTATTATGTTGAGTTTCAATATGATTTACTAATTAGCATTTGACATGAAATGCTGCTGATAGGCACCATTTTCATCCACATGAGAATCTCATCTTAACCTACCAAGATGATGCAGAATTTAGTTATTGGTAACTGTGTTTGTTATAGCTCTCACCTCCCAGCAAAATTGTCCAAGCAGATTTGATTTCATAAATCCAGTGAAATCCTTTTCTCACAAGTTATGTCTGCATAAAAATAACAGTGGTTAGGAAATTATTTTTCAAAGGACCCACCCTCTGTCCTCTGGCTGCTTAGTATGGACAAGAGACTCCAACACAGGTTTTCTGTCTTTCCAGCACGGTATCTGAGTCAACATGCTTATTAGATCTCCTCAGCTGTGGCTGCTGAAAATGTCCAACTTTGTTTAACTAATTAAATAACCACTGGAGCAGTAACCTGACTTTCCTCTCTCTCGCATGACTTCCCTAACCTCTTTCTTGTCCAATGAATGTTTAATTACTGAGGTGAAGTGAAACATATGCAACTGAAGAGGTGAGTAGATCTTGCCTACAGCATGCTTGATAGCTTAGTTATTCAGGCAGTCTGATGAACGAATGGGTAAGATAGGGTTAAGTATCAACTTTAAATCTTCTGAGCTCAAACTTCTCCAAAATTAGCAACCCATTCTCCAAAGTGGCCTGTGGCTAATTAAGACATGTGGTCTGGTTAGCTCACACTTTTGAAACTTACTTAAGAATCTAAGCTAATAATTTTTGCTACCACCTTCCACACCTGCAATGCCCCTGAATAAAACTTTGGGAGGGCACCCACTATTTTTAACTCAAAGCTCTATAAATGAACATCTAGGGTTAAGAGATTCATTTCTTCAGACCTCTGTGACAATTGGTAAAACTCCCTCCATGAGAATATTTTCATAGCATGCCTGATGGACGGTCACTTGTGCAAAAACTTCTTTCCCTTGCTCTTTCAGTAAATAAAAGTATTGTATACTCAGTAGAACAACTAATGAATGAAAACATAATCTGGGTATAAACTCCCATAGGTTATAGACATATAGGGAAGAGACAATACTTTCTAGAAAGAAATACAGATTACAGAAGGAAAAATTGATTTCTTCCCACTGACTGCAGGTGTTTGGGGCTGTAGTTTTCCACTTCCAGGACTCCTAGAATGAATTCAGATAATGAATCAAAACCCCACTCAGAAGAAAGAAATCAAACATCAGTCCTGGTCCTTACATCTGTGATGGATTAAAGTGTAAGGAACATTGTGAAACTCTGGGTCAGCTCATATTAGACATTTTCTGTTAGCAGCTCCCCATGGGAAATGAAATCATCCTAGGGCTCAAACCTGCAGAGGCCAGGCCCCAGCAGAATGCAGGCTGAAGTGAGCAGATAGCTGCAGCCATGCCTGCTATTGCATTGACTCCAGCAGGCATTGTTCTAGACTACGGGTTTAGGCAGTCCTTCAACACAAAGAAGAAAATGTGCTGACCTCCACCAGCTCTGACAGAGTGTAAATTTTGACAAAGTGTAACTAGAATCCCAGAAGACCGCAGTGTTTTTTAACAACCCCTTACCATGGTATTTTTCCTGTATCCATTAAGGTTTCAGAACAATCAGTATTGGATCCTCCTTGAC